AACACCCTCCAATTTTCCCCCCAACCCCCCCCCCCCCGGGGTAAGAGTGTGTGTGTGTCAGGGCTTTAATGCCCACCATGTGATCGTAGCAGAGCAGCCGTCAGTTATTTTAGTCCTGATGTTTCCACTGGAGAAGAAATTTGAAAATGTGTCACAGAGTGATCTGTGTCAGGGTTGGTAGTTAGAACACCAAGGCGGACTGGACTGGACTGGACTGGACTGGACTGGACGACGTCCTTACCTTGACCTTGAGTGGTGAATGTGGGTGGACTGAGAACATGATCTCTAAGGTTCATGTATGTAAAGGTGAAGGACGGTGGTGGAACGTTGATCCTCCAGGTTAGGAAACTTCTACCACTCATGTCTGGGTTTGAGCCGGTACCTGACAAAATCACACTTTACCAATGCTGACGTCTGGAGAAGAGGGGAGCGACAAAACCCCTCCAGCCAGGACTGACCTTCCTTGGATAACAGGAAGGAAGGCCAGGGAAGAAGTCTGAGGAGGATGTTAGGGAGGTGGATGTTAGGGAGGAGGATGTTAGGGAGGAGGATGTTAGGGAGGAGGAGGAGGAGTGGACAGACATGTGTGGAATGCCTGTGCTGCCTGTCTCTGACTGATAAAGGGAGAGTACGGGTGGAATGTGACCCTGAAAAGACTGGATAAACAGAGGGAGGGGGAGGCTGGGGGGGGGGGGGGGGTAGAACCAGCTGAGAGGTCCAGCACTACTAATTTGCCCCACGTTCTCCCAGCAGACAGTTTGCTCTGTTGTGTTTTGTTGTTGGTTCTCAAGGTTCCTCCGGGGATTTGTCACATTTCTGATGAACAGAGATGGCTGGTTCCCTCACCTGGGGGGGGGGTCGTATGCTGCAGCTGCAGTGACATCACTAACGACCATCACTAATTTGATGATGTTTGATTTCATCTCACACATGAATGATTAGAACTTGAACTGAAGAAAGAGTGCAGTGTTACATCACTGCCCTGGAGGTTTTGGTTTTAGAGCATGAGAATTTGACCCCCAACTCTCCCTCTGGGCCACAGTGTGCTGTGAATTTACCCCTGTGGTATTAACAACACTGATGATGAAGTGTCTGAGCTGAACTGAACTGAACTGGACCAGAGCGTGTCTGTGTGTGTGTGTGTGTGTGTGACAAAGTACTGATGAGGTGTTCAAATCTGGCCCACTGATGTGGGTAACAACACAGACTTCCCACTGTCTCCCTGCACTCACTCAGTGAAGACGGGCGGTTGAGCTCCAGCTCAGTCTTGTTGCTGGTCACACAGGTTAGACCGGTGGAGTCACCTGGTTGATGAGTTAACTCCCGGCACCAACATGTCACACATCAGTTCCACTGCCTTCAGCAGAGGCTGTTGGTTTGTTTTTGGGTCACGTCTGGACACGATCTTTTGTTTGTGTTTATTATTGAACTCGTTCCTAGGTTTGCTTTTGATCTTTAATAAACAGCTGTGTTTGAAGCCGAGTGATTAAACCAGGGAGGGACCGAAGGTTCTGGGTTCAGTCCAGGGCACTGTTTGGTACTGTTTCTGGTCACATGACCTCAACCCTCAGCGGTCACTTCCTGTTTGTCACGTCAGTTCTTATTCTTGATGCTGCACTGATACTAACCTTGTCCCTCTTATCTCTGTCTCCCCCTGCTGTTGAAACAGCCACCATGTCAGACGCAGATAGGTTTCTGTACGTGGACCGCAATGTGGTCAACAACCCGCTGGCACAGGCGGACTGGGCCTCCAAAAAACTGGTATGGGTTCCATCAGAGCGCCTGGGCTTCGAGGCCGGCTCGGTGAGGGAGGAACGCGGCGACGAGTGCGTGGTGGAGCTGGCCGACTCTGGTAAGAAGATCAAGGTGAACAAGGACGACATCCAAAAGATGAACCCCCCCAAGTTCAGCAAAGTGGAGGACATGGCAGAACTGACCTGCCTGAACGAGGCCTCCGTGCTGCACAACCTGAAGGAGAGATACTACTCTGGGCTCATATATGTGAGTACTGACACCTCAGACAGGAAGTGGACTGACGCCTCAGACAGGAAGTGGACTGACGCCTCAGACAGGAAGTGTACTGACACCTCAGACAGGAAGTGTACTGACACCTCAGACAGGAAGTGTACTGACACCTCAGACAGGAAGTGGACTGACACCTGGGTTAGACAGGAAGTGGACTGACACCTGGGTTAGACAGGAAGTGGACTGACTCCTCAGACAGGAAGTGGACTGACGCCTCAGACAGGAAGTGTACTGACACCTCAGACAGGAAGTGTACTGACGCCTCAGACAGGAAGTGGACTGACACCTCAGACAGGAAGAGGACTGACACCTCAGACAGGAAGAGGACTGACACCTCAGACAGGAAGTGTACTGACACCTCAGACAGGAAGTGTACTGACGCCTCAGACAGGAAGTGGACTGACTCCTGAGTTAGACAGGAAGTGGACTCACAGTTGGGTTAGACAGGAAGGGGAATGACACCTGAGTTAGACAGGAAGTGGACTCACAGTTGGGTTAGACAGGAAGGGGAATGACACCTGAGTTAGACAGGAAGTGGACTCACAGTTGGGTTAGACAGGAAGTGGACTCACAGTTGGGTTAGACAGGAAGGGGAATGACACCTGAGTTAGACAGGAAGTGGACTGACACCTCAGACAAGAAGTGGACTGACACCTCAGACAAGAAGTGGACTGACACCTCAGACAGGAAGTGTACTGACGCCTCAGACAGGAAGTGTACTGACACCTCAGACAGGAAGTGTACTGACGCCTCAGACAGGAAGTGTACTGACACCTCAGACAGGAAGTGTACTGACACCTCAGACAGGAAGTGTACTGACACCTCAGACAGGAAGTGTACTGACGCCTCAGACAGGAAGTGGACTGACACCTGGGTTAGTCACCGTGGTGTACAGAACATTCTGGATCAGTGAATATCAAATTATGATCTCCCCATTATTTTCTTAAACCTTCATGAAGACGAGGAGTCAGAGGACGGAGAAGTCCACACTCACTCACTCGTGTTCTCCACCCTCTTCCTCTTTGGCTCCTTCGTCCTGGAGTGTTTGGAGATATTGCACAAACAGGAAGTTAAAGGAAACAGAGTGGGTGAAAAGTTAAGAGAAGTGTTGGAGAAAAATTAAAAATAAAATGCCCATGGAGGATGTGTTGTAACTCTTATTACCCCTCCCATACTTCATGGCGTCTGGGGGAGGTTTTTTTTTTGCCTCGCTCTGACCTGGTCACATCAACCCAAGCTGCTGTCCACTCCCTTTCCTCCCCTTTAGAGAGAGAGAGAGAGAATGAGAGACCAAGACTTCCTTCTACAGACCGACTAATTCACAGTGTCAAATAAACAACCACAGGAGAGCTGCCCAGTAGGAAGGTCAGGATCTACCAGTCGATCACAGAGGGACGACTGGTGGATCCTGTATTTATATTAGAACTCTAGAACTGGATTAGCAACAACACCATGATTGAATCAACATAAATGTGTGTGTGTGTGTGTATATAAGTATATTCAGCTCATTTGATTAAATATATATCAAATATGATCAGTGTTGGTAGGTCACTGGTCAGTTGTAGCTCCAGACCAACACAGTTTGGTCACCTCTGCTGTAAAGTGTTTTAGAAGGACTCCAGTATGAAGCAAAGGATTTATTGTAGTTTTTAAATCCTGTTGAATTCTTCAACTCACGTTCAAGGTCAAGATTAATCTGTGATAAAGATTTTTAAAAACAGTTTAACCTGTTGTTGTCCACCATGAGAACCTGATTTGTTGATGAAATCCAGATGTTTGGAGTTATTAATCCTGAACTCCAGGATTCAGAACCGTTTATTATTATTTCCTCATTTCCATCAGTTGACCTCACTTCCTGTACAGGACTTTCACCTTTACGTCTGAGTGCAGTGTTTAACTGTCTGTGTGTCTGTTGTCCAGACATATTCCGGTCTGTTCTGCGTGGTCATAAACCCCTACAAGAACCTGCCCATCTACTCAGAGGAGATCGTTGACATGTACAAGGGCAAGAAGAGGCACGAGATGCCCCCTCACATCTACGCCATCACCGACACGGCGTACAGAAGCATGATGCAGGGTACGTCCGCCATCTTACTGTAACTGTGTCATCATCAGCGTTGACATCATCAAGAGCTGCAGTCTGTGGGTTTGGCAGATGTTTCCACTTGATGGTGACGACTCAGCAGCTGTGACTTGGATCTGCTCTGAAATGTAACGATGTTAGGGCTGTGTGTGTGTCGGCAAGAGTCGGGGGATACCGTACGTACCACCGTGATACAGGGGCGACGATACGATGTACGTATCACCACGATACAGGGACGACGATACGATGTACGTACCACCGCGATACAGGGGCGACGATACGATGTACGTATCACCGTGATACAGGGGCGACGATACGATGTACGTATCACCGTGATACAGGGGCGACGATACGATGTACGTATCACCGTGATACAGGGGCGACGATACGATGTACGTATCACCACGATACAGGGGCGACGATACGATGTACGTATCACCGCGATACAGGGGCGACGATACGATACAGG